TTGAGGATAATTTTGGTACTTTTTAAAGTTTAAGGACAATTTTGGTACCAAAGTGAGAAGTTGAGGGACCAAAATGGTACTTAAACCTTCTTTAAATTAATTAAAACCGTTCCGCTCCCGCGAAAACCCACCAAAAAACCCCTCCATTTCCCGCCAAAACCACAAAAATCAGATTAAAAAGGAAAAAAAAAAGAATTAAAAATGAACAAAAACTTCAGAATTCAGATAGAACACAACTGACCATCCGGAAGGCAGAAACCCTTACTGAGCCACCATGAAAATTAGATCGGTGAAGCTGAGAGAAGCCCACAAGGCTGCCAATGGCGGAACTTCTTCTTTCTGCTCCATCTTGTGGGACCTCCAGGCCCTCCATCTGGTCACCGCTTCTTCATCCGATTCTTCAATCGCCATCCACGATCCTCTCCTTCCTTCCAGTCCGCCGCGAATTCTTCGCCACCACCGCGACGGAGTCACCGCCTTGGCTCTCAGCTCCAACTCCACTTGTCTCGCTTCCGGATCCATTGACCATTCCGTCAAACTCTACCGATTTCCAGGTTTCCATTTCTTTTATTTTTATTTTTTAAAATAAATACCAGTTAGAACTATGGAATGTTGGTATCCTTGTGTTTAATGCTGTTTCCATCAAATTTTTTTTCCTCTCTATTTTTCTTTTAGGAGGTCAAAATTTGTCTACTTTGCTTGATCTGGTTTTTGGAAACTTGAAACTTTAATATCTACTTCTAATTTCTCTTTATTTGGTTTATGTAAGGGTTCAAATGATTTACAGAAATCGCTGAAATGTGGCTGAAATATGAATACTCTTTGTTAAATAGTTTGGAATTGTGGTGTTCTGAAACACCTCACCATCTCATTTTTGGTGGTTTGGTGGTGTTTCTGGTTTAACTAACATTTGGTAATCATTTTGTATCAGGTGGAGAGTTTCAAACTAATGTTACTAGATTTACACTGCCAATTCGTGCGGTTGCTTTTAATAAATCCGGCAGCATGCTGGCAGCTGCTGGTGATGATGAAGGGATTAAACTTATTAATACAATTGATGGCTCGATTGCCAGGGTTCTAAAGGGGCATAAAGGGCCGGTCACTGGGGTAGCTTTTGATCCTAATGGTGAATACTTGGCATCGATTGATTCAATTGGTACTGTTATATATTGGGAACTCCAGTCTGGAAGAACTCTATTTACCCTTAAAGGCATAGCTCCTAATACTGGTTCTGATACTTCTATCATGAATGTAATGAGCTGGAGTCCTGATGGGGAGACCTTAGCTGTCCCTGGTCTCAAAAATGATGTGGTAATGTATGATAGAGACACAGCTGAGAAGGTGTTCTCCTTGAGGGGTGATCATGTGCAACCTATTTGTTTTATGTCTTGGTCACCTAATGGGAAATACATGGCTACTTCTAGTTTGGATAAGCAGGTTTTGATCTGGGATGTTGATAGGAGGCAGGATATTGACCGGCAGAAATTTGATGACAGAATATGCTGCATGGCATGGAAGCCAATTGACAATGCATTGGCTGTTATTGATGATATGGGAAAGTATGGTGTGTGGGAATCTATTGTTCCTTCATCAATGAAGTCTCCTACAGAAGACATTCCAAATTTGCGATCAAAGAACAGTAATGGGCTCCTCCTGTTTGATGAAGATGAACAGGAGGCTAGCATGTCTGGTAGTCTAAGTGATCTTGGGGAGGATAGCCATGGTGAATCTGAGCCCCCTTGCAGAAAAAGATTGCGGAAACAGTCTGTATTTGATGAATACCAGGATGAAGATCTCCATGATGACTTGAACTTGCTTCCAAAAGCTGAACCTGAGAAAAAAACATATAGGGTTCACAAGGAAAACTCACGTAAGGCAAAAGATGGACAGAGAAGCATGATATCAACTTCTAGGCCAAAAATGCAAGAGGCTTTCCAGCCAGGTTCTACTCCTCTGCAACATGGCAGAAGGTGCTTCTTGTGCTATAATATGCTTGGAAGTATAACCACAATCAAACAAGAGGATTATTCACATATAGAGGTGATTCATGCTGTTTCATAATTCATAGATTAGATTCTTATTCTGGTTTCTTTATCTTTTTCCTTTTTATTTGGGGAGGCCGTGGTGAATTGGGGAAGGGAGATCTTGCTTAGGCATGAATCTAATGCTTTTGATAGAACTATGGTTTTTGGTGGGGAAGAAATGTGTTGCTCTTCCTGTGTTATTTGCTGATAAATTAGCATATCTTGGATGCAGATAGATTTTCATGATACTAGCCGAGGTCCTCGAGTTCCACCAATGACTGATCATTATGGTTTCACAGTTGCTTCATTAAATGAGAATGGGTGTGTCTTTGCTAATTCTTGCAAGGGTGACAAAAACATGAGCACTCTCATGTATCGGCCATTCGGCAGCTGGGCAATTAACAGTGAGGTAAGAGTATTTGCTTTTTATAGATGATTTATTCATTTTTTTGGTTTTAATCTTTAGTTTTGTGGCTCTGCATACCTATCTCTGGATAGCTTTCCTGCATTTACTGCACTGAGTGTGTGGTTCCAAATTAGTGACTGTTTGTTGTGGCTTACCAACACAGTGGTACATGCGATTTGAAGGGGAAGAAGTAAAAGTGGTTGCACTTGGCACTCCTTGGGTAGCTGCAGTTACAAGTCTTAATTTTGTTCGTATTTTTACTGAAGGTGGTTTGCAGGTTTGTCTTGTATACGCAATGAACTTTAACGTGTTGTTTTAGACAATTTTATTGATTCTTTATCATGACCCTTTGAGTTTCTTATTTTAATATAGATGATTCCTTATGTCAAGCTAAATTTTTTGGCATTCTTATTGCAAATTAGTCTCTTTTACAGTTTTAATCCCTTTAGTCCAGGGGACCACATCATCCTGCAGAACTAATCATTTGCAAACTCTAAACTGCTGAAACCATGTCCTTTCATCTATCAAAGAAGTGGTCAAGTTGTATTAGGCTAGATCCAAGAGCTATGAGAAGGAAAAGAGGAGGTATTTGTTAGGAATTACCACGAAAGGAATACAAAGTGGGAAAAAAATTCTTATCAATGTGGTTCCTTCATCAGTTTGTTCTTTTTCCTTCTGTAGGAATGCACAAAGTGACAAAACACTCAATGAATAACTGAACAGTTAAAATTGAACAATGAGTAATTGAAATTTGTTTGCTAGATTCTCCCTGCCAAACTCTCTTCCAATCTGTCCCTGTTCTGTTTTTATCAAACTTATGGAAATCAAAGGGGAGAGTTCACTGAATCGATGGCAATTTTTATGGCTGAATGTGAGTTTAGCAGCTGAATAAGATATATGGGCTATGTTAATGGACTCATCTGTTTCTCTGCTTTGGATTTTGTTGCAGAAACACATTCTCTCACTTGGTGGGCCTGTGGTGACTGCAGCAGGATTCAAAGATGAACTTGCCGTTGTTACTCATGTTTCTGATTGTCTTCCTTCCAATGAGCAGGTAATTTTTTCAACTTACAATGAGATGGTTGACTAACCTTAGTATCAATACAGTGACACATCAATATCCTAAGATATCAGTGGATCTTGTTAAAATTTCAAAAATAGAAGTAATAAATAATCTGCTTGTTGAAACATTATTGCCTTGGTAGTGCAATAAGGTTTGATTATTTAATTCTTTTTGCCAGCTTAATGTAGGGTTTGAAATCATTTCATGGTAATTTCTTCTGAGACATGCAGATGCTAGAGTTTCGAGTTTTTAAAATATCTAATGGGACCCAGCCCTTCCGAGGTCGTCTTCCCCTGACTCCTGGTTCACATCTAACATGGTTTGGTTTTAGTGAAGAAGGGCAGTTAAGCTCTTATGATTCTAAGGTATCCTGAATTTTTTTTTTTTTTATTTGATTGGCTTGAACTTAAACTTATTAGTTAATATTGCTACCAAACTACTTAATAATGAATCTGATTCAATAAACTTTGTAGGGTGTACTGAGGGTTTTTACCTGCCAATATGGAGGCAGTTGGCTCCCACTCTTCAGGTTCAATATTCTTTTTAAGAACACAATGATCCAAATTATGTATCATTGCCTCAGAATCTTGCTTTTGTTTTTAATGAGCTACTTTATTAATTGCAGTGCTAGCAAAGAGAAAAAGTCTGATGAAAACTACTGGGTGGTTGGTTTGAATTCAAGCAAGTTGTTTTGTATTGTTTGTAAAAATCCAGACACCTGCCCACAGGTACTTAACTTTTCAGCTCTCCCTTTCTGCTTTGTTTGTCATTAAGAGCCTAACCATCATTTACCTCCATTCAGGTGCTCCCCAAGCCTGTTCTTACTCTTCTCAACCTGTCATTTCCTCTTGCATCCTCTGATTTGGGTGAAGCAGCCCTTGAGAACGAATTTTTGATGAACAACATGCATCTTTCACAGGTTTGTCATCCCCTTCTATTTTTGTGGCATGTCAAACCATTCAGTTATAGTTATAATTGTGAAATTTCCATGTCATTTCTTTGAGGAAAGAGACCACGTTTAATTTCCGGATGATCAGTTTTATTCCTCTTTTTAGATTTTATTGAATGTTCAGCGTTGTCTAGCATCTAAAGTAATTAGACATATAAACTCATTGCAGATTCAGGAAAAAGTAGAAGCAATGATCAGCAAAGGTTTGGATGCTACTTTGCTTGATGATGAGGCTTTTGATATAGAAGCTGCACAAGATAGATGCATCCTCAGGCTCATTGCATCCTGTTGCAATGGTGAGGCTTTAAAATCTATAATGAACTCATCAAAGCAGCAGTTTTCATCAGTCTTCACTTCCATTTACCCTTTGTGTAGTTACTTCAGAAATGTATTCTGATTGCCAATGCTTGTGGTGGTTGTTCTAGGTGACAAACTAGTAACAGCTACTGAACTCGTGAAGCTTTTATCAGTTGAAAAATCAGTGAAGGGTGCAATCCAGCTTGCCACTGCTTTGAAGCTTCCAAGTTTGGCAGAAAGGTTCAACAGCATACTAGAGGTAAACAATCAATGTCAAACTGACAACTAAGTTTTTCACTGGTGCTAACTGGATTTTGTTTCCTCTTTGGTGGTTTTACCAATACTTTTCTACCCTGAAAACAGGAACGATTGCATAACAAAACTGACCAGGCACGTGACATCTCTCTCCCAAGTTCAAAGTATGATCTTTCTGCTAAAGCTGATGTTGCATTCAGCAAATACTTAACTGCGTCTGGGAGAAGTGAAGTATTAGACACCACTATTCGAACATCGTCAGTAAGACTTTCAGCTCCTCTTTTTACAAAAAAAGCAAAACTCTCCGAAGAAGATAAACTTGGTAAACAAAAAGCAGATCAAAACCAAACTGCACACATGGAAGACAACAAAGAGGCAAAGAATTCAGATTTGAAAAATGCTGGCCAGGTGAATAGTTTAAGAGATGTGAAGAAGACACATAATCAAAACCTATCTGATCCATTTTCAAAAGCATCAAATAATCATGAAGAAGGGAAGAAGGTTGCAGAAGTGCCTCAAGTACGAAGTCAGCGTCCATCTGATCCATTTTTGAAGACATCAAGTAATCAGGAGGAAGTGAAGAAGGTTGGGGAAGTCACTGGAGCACAATCCCAGCGTCCTGCTAATCCATTTTTGAAATCCACAATCAAGTGAAGTCCCTCTCAGCTTTCCAAGAATGAGGCCTAAAACACCAGTATGAGTAAGATTAGCTGAAAGTGCACTTTGATTTCCTCTCAAAACTGACCGTACAGGGTTTTATGAAGTTCACAATGCAGGGAAGATACTGTCTAATGTGCAGTGTACATAACTTGTATGGTGGAGAAAAAATGGAGTGGCTTCTAATTTATGTAAATTAGGTCTTGGAGAAACATGGGGATCATTTGTTTCTTGGAGCACTAAACTATCCACTCTAGACACGTTCCTTAATTTACATAACAAGCAAATGACATATCATATCAAGCTAGCCAATTGTCAGGATTGCTGTATCTGGTTTTGTTTTTCGATGAGGTCTTTGCCTTTGTTATGAGAAATATCATGTTATTTTTAATTTATTTTTTCATATTGAGAAAAGAAAACTTGAGTTTCTATTTATTTAGTTAAGGAGAAGTGCCTTTTTCCTCTTTCTTCTTCTTCTTTATCATGTTATTTTTAATTTATCTTTTCATATTGAGAAAAGAAAACTTGAGTTTTTATTTATTTAGTTAAGGAGAAGTGTCTTTTTCCTGTTTCTTCTTCTTTTTCTTGGTTGCATAACAAGATGTAATCATTTTTTTTTTCTTATTTTATTTCAGTCGCATATTATGTAACTTAAATTTATAATCTCTTATTTTTAGCGAAAATAGATGATTATTAAATTATTTATGTCATTGACAAGTATTTTTTTTTTTTATTTTATAACAATTATACACATTTTTTATCTAGGACCCAAATAATTTAATTATAAGTCAATAATTATTATAGTTGGTAAAATCATTTGATGGTTGTATCAAAAATTTGAAATTAAATATAACACTATTGGAGGAAAAAGGCACTAAAAAATTTTAAACAGTAGCTTGATCGGTAAAGAGATTCATTTGTTATTTATCGATTTTTCAATTTGTTTATAAAATTATTAACAAGGTAATTTTTTTTAATAAATCATTATACTCCTAACTGCTCTTGACAATAGGGTAAAACATAATTAGATGTGTACAAATTAACTTAACCTTGATTTACCATAAAATAAGACTTCTTTTCTTTTGAGAAAAATGAATCTACCAAACAAGATTTATCATGGATGCAAGAGTTGTGATTATGTTTATACATATAGTTATACATACATGAAATTTTATTGGAAGTTTTTGAATTAAATTGTTTCCTTTTATTAATATTAGATCAAAGTTTTCTTAACAATAAAAACTATTTCATTTCTCATACATAGGAAGTAAATTTTTAAGGTCCATAAAAGACTTAATCTTTAAGAGTTATTTTATTTTAAAAATAACAAATTCAAGTCATACTTCTCTTTTCTATTTTCTAAAAACATGAATTCTATTCCTAGAAATAGAAGTTCAACCAATGGAATTGAATGGTTGCTATTTACTTCAAAACTATATGATGAAAATGGAAATAAAAATAATAATTTTTATATTAAAAAATGATAATAAATTAATAATATTAATAGAGATACAATATTTTTTATACTATAATTTTTATATAATAAAAAAATATTGGCATTATTGCATATTTCTAATTTAAAATCAAAAAAGAAAAAAGGAAAAAAGAAAGGAAGGTCAAAGGGAATTTCCTCCAAAACAAACCCACCCTTTCCTTTTAAGCTAATAAAAGCCAAACATTTTCCAATTTCAATTTGAATCTAGCAAAAGGATTTTCTTCTTCCCTTTACTCCGTCCGCCTCCGCCAGTAAAAATGGCATCCGTCTCCTACCTCCAGCGCCAGCGCCAGGACGCCGACGAAGACGCCGTTCACCACCGCTCCCACCCTATTCAATCCCTCACCCTGGATTCCCTTCCCTACTGGTCCCAAGAATTCCACTTCTTTTCCTCCGATCCCGATTTCGCTTCCCATGATGAATTCTCCTTCCCGGATGCGCTCATCGCCGAAGGCCCGGATCCATTTGATGACCGGGAGAACCAGGTCAACTTCGTCATCGATCTCTTCCATCAACGTGTGGAGCAATCCCAGGTAATGTCTAATAGTACCAATGCCAATCATGACAACAATGACGATGGCGATGTTAATGATAACAGTAACAATGATAGCGATAGTAATGCTGTTGATTTGGTTTCCGATGCGTTAACTGAGTTGGGTTTTGGTGTTATTGACGGAACCCTTGAATTGGATATGGATGATTTGGAGTTAGATTTAGGGTTAGGGTTTAGTTCTGTAGAGATACAGGAGGATGGCAATTCTGGCTTTGTTTTTGATACTATTGGTGGCAGTGTCGTTGAAATAGATGTTGGTGGTGATGATGATGATTTCTTTGAGGAGAGGAGGGTTTCAGCTTTGGAGACCAGTGGGGCTGCCTCCACGGTCAGTGTGGTTGAACCCTACAGGGAAAGTGTTCATCTTGTTGGTTTTGAGTTCGATTCAGAGGATGATGACAATGAGAATGACAATGGGGCTTTGGCTATAGATTTGAATTCAGGTGATGAATATGGTCTGGATCGTGTGGATGATTATGATGAGGATGAGGATGATGTTAGTGTTACTATTCCTCTCTGTTTGGATTCAATGCAATTGGAGGATCGTGGAGAGACAAATGAGGATGAGTGGGAGGAAGTGGATGCTGATGAGAGGGAAGTTTTTAGCGTGCATTATGATGATGAGAATTCTGTTTCTCTTTCATTTTCACCTGTCATGGCACAGGAGGATGCAGTTGAGAGGGCATCAGGCATAGGGAATTTTGGGTGGCAGGTTTTGTTGCATAACTTGCATTCAAATAATTTGGAGACAAACCCAGAAATGGATGATAATGCTGATCCATATTTTGGGGATCAAGATGATTATATCCATACGTCAGAATATGAAATGTTGTTTGGACAATTTGTGGAGAATGAAAATGCATTCTTGGGAAGGCCTCCAGCGTCAAAATCTGTGGTTGAGAATCTTCCGTCAGTGGTTGTGACCAAAGAGGATGTAGAGTGTAACAATGCACTCTGTGCAGTATGTAAGGATGACATTAATATTGGGGAAATGGTGAAGCAGCTGCCTTGTGCCCACCGCTACCATGGGGATTGTATTGTCCCCTGGCTGGGAATAAGGAATACCTGCCCTGTTTGTCGTCATGAGTTGCCTACAGACGATTCCGAATATGAAAGGAGGAGGTCCCAGAGGGCTGGTCGTGCCCTGTAATGGTAATTTTGGTTACATGTCATTTTAAAGGTTTTCATTGATCATTAGGAGCAGGTTAAGGATGTAGATATTGTTATTGAGAGAGTCAACATGTATAAGGTTTATGAGATTGCTTATGTTCATATCATATGTATATTTTTTTTCCTTTTTGTGAGAGTGAAAGAATGTTGGAAGAATGTTGCACCCTTGGGGGTTCCCCCTTTTTTTTTTTTTGGGTTAATTGTCACTAATTCATGCAAGCTTATAATTGCTTGGCTGACTGCTGATTTGCGCAGACACTTGTTTATCTAAGGCCAAAATGCATGATTTTGGAGATGTAATACTGTATTTGAGTATAATTTATATGGATTCTTCTAGTATTGTTCTGTATGTATACAAATTTATACCTTAGATCTGGATTCTTATGTTTGTGGATGGCACATGAGCGTTGTTAATTTATTGAGATTGTGGTTGGCAGGTTTATTCTGGGTGGAAAATAGAAACTGGTTTCCTTCATTCCTTGTTACTCCCAGAAACGAAAACCGAACCATCAACCGAGCAGCTTCTATTCCCGATAAAAAGTAACCCAATACCCAACGTAAGGCAGAGAATGGTGTTTCCATTTCTGTGAAATTTGAAAAGATGAATTTCACCTGTGTTTATTTGCGACTGAAATTTAGTGTTAATGGGTGATTTTCTTCGTCATCGTCCATATTTTGCTCTATAATTGGGAACTGCCACAAAGGAATTCTTGGCTAGAAGAATTAATCCATGAAAAAGTTGCCTTTCCCCAAGCCTAACCTCTTTTTGTATGCCAAGAGAGTTGTTTCGTGGCAATCACCATCAACTTTTATCTGCACAATTATGATGGAGTTACCTATGCTCTAAAACCACAATTTTAGGATTCGATCTCTAGTCTCTATATATTGAGAAAAAAAAAAAAAGTTAACTTTTCTGCACCAAATGCATTTTCCTGTTGTAGAAAAATGACCTCCTACAATATCAATAACCTTCTTTATCTTCCCAAAGTTGACTCCAATGTGTTTATCCTTAACACGTGCCAATGTGTTTATCCTCATGCAAAACAAAAGCACTGGTGTTTTGAAATTGCAGATTATAAGGTGATTCCACTGCTTTCCAGAGAGATGCTAGTTCACATTGTAGGCCAATCTAAACAGCTATTGGCTTTTAGCATTTGTTAAATTAGCTTTGATGAATATATGAAGCATTGTTTCTTTAAAACAAGCTAAATAGAATACCTTGGTTGAATGTGTGAAAATTTGTCTAGGAACTTCAAGAGCAGCTAAGGGCATTTTAGAGGCTCATCTGACTTCCTTTCCGGAAATGTCTTGAATGCAAGCTCAATCTGAAAATCGTGGGTTAGAAGCAGAAATATGATACAGGCTACATAATATTCAGCATAACACATGAAGCCCACTGGATTTTGGATCATAGTGTATTTCACATGGCGAGAAAATTAGATCAGTACTCAAGGAGAAGACACAAAATTCCCCCAAAGCTATGAATCCTTGTATTTTCCTAGAGAGTGTTCTAAAACCTAGTTACTGATAAGCCCAATTAAACTTAATTA